TATGGCCATGTTCTAGAGGCATTCTCTCCTGACGTTTCGCCTCCATCTATGGCAAGCATCCTCAGAGGTAGTGAGGATTATTATTAGTAGTAGTAGTAGTAGTAGTATTATTAGTATTAGTATTATATATTATTTATAGTATTACTTATATTATATTATTATTAATATTATATTATATTATATTATTATATTACTTATATTATAATATTATACTTATATTATATTATTATTATATAATATTATTATATTATACTATATTTAATAATATAATAATATAATATTCTTATATTCGTATATTATTGTACTTACATTATTATATTACTTATATTATAATATATTATTATTATATTATATTATATTATAATATTAATATATATTATATTATTATTATATTATATTATATTATATTTATTATATATATTATATTATATATTATATAATATTATTATTTATATTATATATTATATTATATCATTTTATATTATTATTATTATATATATTATAATATATATAATATAAATATTAATATTATTATATTAATATTATATTATTATATTTATATTATATTATATTATATTATATTATATTATATTTTATTATATTATATTATATTATATTATAGTATATTTATAATATAATATAATATAACATTAATATAATATAAGAACATAATAATAATAATATTAATAATATTATAATATAATATAAGATATTATGATATTATATTATTATATTATTATATATTTTATTATATTATATTATATATATTATTATATATTATTATTATATTATTATTTATATTATATTATATTATTATTATATTATAAATAATTATATATAATATAATAATATATAAATAAATAATAGAAATAAAATATATATAATATTATAAGTATATCAGAAATTTGATAATTAGGGCTATCAGCTCGATGACCAAGAAGAGAGCTATAAATAATCAATATACTTTATGACTGTCAGTTAAGTATGTTTGTGTGCAAACGTAATGAATTCTAAAGTAATGATAAGAAAAATTATATAACTATATACTTGGATTTTCAGATGCTCCAATAACATTCATGATGCAGCTAACATAATATAATATAATAATATTATAATATAATATAATATATATTAATATAATAATATATAATAATATAATATAATAATATAATATATTATAATAATATAATATATTATAATAATATAATAATAATATAATAATATAATATATTATAATTAATATAATAATATATATTAATATAATAATATTATAACATAATATAATATAATAATATAATATAATATAAACATAATATAATATGTTTGAATAAGACCTAAATTTTTCTTGTATGTCTACTCAATAATTGAGCTGCATTGAGATTTTGTGGAATCTTTTTGTTATATTATTACTTATATTATATTACTATTATAATATTATTACTTATATTATATTATTACTTATATTATATTACTATTATAATATTATTACTTATATTATATTATTACTTATATTATATTACTATTATAATATTATTACTTATATTATATTATTACTTATATTATATTACTATTATAATATTATTACTTATATTATGTTATTACTTATATTATATTACTATTATAATATTATTACTTATATTATATTATTACTTATATTATATTACTATTATAATATTATTACTTATATTATATTATTACTTATATTATATTACTATTATAATATTATTACTTATATTATGTTATTACTTATATTATATTACTATTATAATATTATTACTTATATTATGTTATTACTTATATTATATTACTATTATAATATTATTACTTATATTATATTATTACTTATATTATATTACTATTATAATATTATTACTTATATTATATTATTACTTATATTATATTACTATTATAATATTATTACTTATATTATATTATTACTTATATTATATTACTATTATAATATTATTACTTATATTATGTTATTACTTATATTATATTACTATTATAATATTATGTTATTACTTATATTATGTTATTTATACCCGAGTGGCGCCCAACTGCATGCATTCCCTTGCAAAATAGATCTTGCAAAAAAAGATGTATTTTAATGAAACCATTGAACGATGGCAGGGAAAGCAGAGTTGAATTGCACCCAGAGTTTTTGGGGAGACGCAGTTCTCCAAAGCACCTTTCCTCTTGCTTGGTCTCCTCCGCTGAGATGTTTTGCACCCGGAGCCAAAGGTCTGAGCGGAGGAGAAAGAGGAGAATCAGGAGGGAACGATGATGACGGGAGGAAGGGACAGGTGAGCCACTTCCCCGACAGGGAACGCCCCTTCCCTCCACCTGCGAATGAGTGGCGGCTCAGGTAGGCACTTCCTGTTTGGGGAACGAGAGAGCGAGAGAAGGAGAGAGAGAGAAGAGAGAGAGAGAGAGAAGGCGATTGTCAACGCCGCCCGCCGAGGGAGGATGAAGTCGGACGAGGAGGACGAGAGCAAGACAGGTAGGGCAAAGGTGCACCTTTTCGGGTTTGCAAACATGAGGGTGCGTTCGTGCTCCGCCGGCCAAAGGTTTCCACGTTCGAAAGAAGGCCTTGCAAACCTTTTGGACTTTGAGGCCAATCAAAGGTCGCAGAGTCCATGCTTTGATCACTCTGTGCTCCAGAGTCCATGCTTTGCCCATTGAGGGTCTCCAGAGTCCATGCTTTGCCCATTGAGGGTCTCCAGAGTCCATGCTTTGCCCATTGAGGGTCTCCAGAGTCTATGCTTTGCCCATTGAGGGTCTCCAGAGTCCATGCTTTGCCCATTGAGGGTCTCCAGAGTCTATGCTTTGCCCATTGAGGGTCTCCAAGTCCGTGCTTTGCCCATTGAGGGTCTCCAAGTCCGTGCTTTGCCCATTGAGGGTCTCCAGAGTCTATGCTTTGCCCATTGAGGGTCTCCAGAGTCTATGCTTTGCCCATTGAGGGTCTCCAGAGTCCGTGCTTTGCCCATTGAGGGTCTCCAGAGTCCATGCTTTGCCCATTGAGGGTCTCCAGAGTCTATGCTTTGCCCATTGAGGGTCTCCAAGTCCGTGCTTTGCCCATTGAGGGTCTCCAGAGTCTATGCTTTGCCCATTGAGGGTCTCCAGAGTCCGTGCTTTGCCCATTGAGGGTCTCCAGAGTCCATGCTTTGCCCATTGAGGGTCTCCAGAGTCCATGCTTTGCCCATTGAAGGTCTCCAGAGTCCATGCTTTGCCCATTGAGGGTCTCCAGAGTCCATGCTTTGCCCATTGAAGGTCTCCAGAGTCCATGCTTTGCCCATTGAGGGTCTCCAGAGTCTATGCTTTGCCCATTGAGGGTCTCCAGAGTCCATGCTTTGCCCATTGAGGGTCTCCAGAGTCCATGCTTTGCCCATTGAGGGTCTCCAGAGTCTATGCTTTGCCCATTGAAGGTCTCCAGAGTCCGTGCTTTGCCCATTGAGGGTCTCCAGAGTCCATGCTTTGCCCATTGAGGGTCTCCAGAGTCCATGCTTTGCCCATTGAGGGTCTCCAGAGTCTATGCTTTGCCCATTGAGGGTCTCCAGAGTCCATGCTTTGCCCATTGAGGGTCTCCAGAGTCCATGCTTTGCCCATTGAGGGTCTCCAGAGTCCGTGCTTTGCCCATTGAGGGTCTCCAGAGTCCATGCTTTGCCCATTGAGGGTCTCCAGAGTCCATGCTTTGCCCATTGAGGGTCTCCAGAGTCCATGCTTTGCCCATTGAGGGTCTCCAGAGTCCATGCTTTGCCCATTGAGGGTCTCCAGAGTCCATGCTTTGCCCATTGAGGGTCTCCAGAGTCTATGCTTTGCCCATTGAGGGTCTCCAGAGTCCATGCTTTGCCCATTGAGGGTCTCCAGAGTCCATGCTTTGCCCATTGAGGGTCTCCAGAGTCTATGCTTTGCCCATTGAGGGTCTCCAGAGTCCGTGCTTTGCCCATTGAGGGTCTCCAAGTCCGTGCTTTGCCCATTGAGGGTCTCCAAGTCTGTGCTTTGCCCATTGAGGGTCTCCAGAGTCTATGCTTTGCCCATTGAAGGTCTCCAGAGTCTATGCTTTGCCCATTGAGGGTCTCCAGAGTCCGTGCTTTGCCCATTGAGGGTCTCCAGAGTCTATGCTTTGCCCATTGAAGGTCTCCAGAGTCCGTGCTTTGCCCATTGAGGGTCTCCAGAGTCCTGCTTTGCCCATTGAGGGTCTCCAGAGTCCATGCTTTGCCCATTGAGGGTCTCCAGAGTCCGTGCTTTGCCCATTGAGGGTCTCCAGAGTCCATGCTTTGCCCATTGAGGGTCTCCAGAGTCCATGCTTTGCCCATTGAGGGTCTCCAGAGTCCATGCTTTGCCCATTGAGGGTCTCCAGAGTCCATGCTTTGCCCATTGAGGGTCTCCAGAGTCTATGCTTTGCCCATTGAGGGTCTCCAGAGTCTATGCTTTGCCCATTGAGGGTCTCCAGAGTCCATGCTTTGCCCATTGAGGGTCTCCAGAGTCTATGCTTTGCCAATTGAAGGTCTCCAGAGTCCGTGCTTTGCCCATTGAGGGTCTCCAGAGTCTATGCTTTGCCCATTGAAGGTCTCCAGAGTCCGTGCTTTGCCCATTGAGGGTCTCCAGAGTCTATGCTTTGCCCATTGAAGGTCTCCAGAGTCCATGCTTTGCCCATTGAGGGTCTCCAGAGTCCATGCTTTGCCCATTGAGGGTCTCCAGAGTCTATGCTTTGCCCATTGAAGGTCTCCAGAGTCCATGCTTTGCCCATTGAGGGTCTCCAGAGTCCATGCTTTGCCCATTGAGGGTCTCCAGAGTCTATGCTTTGCCCATTGAGGGTCTCCAGAGTCCATGCTTTGCCCATTGAGGGTCTCCAGAGTCCATGCTTTGCCCATTGAGGGTCTCCAGAGTCTATGCTTTGCCCATTGAGGGTCTCCAGAGTCCATGCTTTGCCCATTGAAGGTCTCCAGAGTCCATGCTTTGCCCATTGAAGGTCTCCAGAGTCTATGCTTTGCCCATTGAGGGTCTCCAGAGTCCGTGCTTTGCCCATTGAGGGTCTCCAGAGTCCATGCTTTGCCCATTGAGGGTCTCCAGAGTCCGTGCTTTGCCCATTGAGGGTCTCCAGAGTCCATGCTTTGCCCATTGAAGGTCTCCAGAGTCCATGCTTTGCCCATTGAGGGTCTCCAGAGTCCGTGCTTTGCCCATTGAGGGTCTCCAGAGTCTATGCTTTGCCCATTGAAGGTCTCCAGAGTCTATGCTTTGCCCATTGAAAGTCTCCAGAGTCCATGCTTTTCCCATTGAGGGTCTCCAGAGTCTATGCTTTGCCCATTGAAGGACTCCAGAGTCCGTGCTTTGCCCATTGAGGGTCTCCAGAGTCCATGCTTTGCCCATTGAGGGTCTCCAGAGTCCATGCTTTGCCCATTGAGGGTCTCCAGAGTCTATGCTTTGCCCATTGAGGGTCTCCAGAGTCCATGCTTTGCCCATTGAGGGTCTCCAGAGTCCATGCTTTGCCCATTGAGGGTCTCCAGAGTCTATGCTTTGCCCATTGAGGGTCTCCAGAGTCCGTGCTTTGCCCATTGAGGGTCTCCAGAGTCCGTGCTTTGCCCATTGAGGGTCTCCAGAGTCCATGCTTTGCCCATTGAGGGTCTCCAGAGTCTATGCTTTGCCCATTGAGGGTCTCCAGAGTCCATGCTTTGCCCATTGAGGGTCTCCAGAGTCCATGCTTTGCCCATTGAGGGTCTCCAGAGTCCATGCTTTGCCCATTGGGGGTCTCCAGAGTCCATGCTTTGCCCATTGAGGGTCTCCAGAGTCCATGCTTTGCCCATTGAGGGTCTCCAGAGTCCATGCTTTGCCCATTGGGGGTCTCCAGAGTCCATGCTTTGCCCATTGAAGGTCTCCAGAGTCCATGCTTTGCCCATTGAGGGTCTCCAGAGTCCATGCTTTGCCCATTGAGGGTCTCCAGAGTCCATGCTTTGCCCATTGAGGGTCTCCAGAGTCCATGCTTTGCCCATTGAGGGTCTCCAGAGTCTATGCTTTGCCCATTGAGGTCTCCAGAGTCCGTGCTTTGCCCATTGAGGGTCTCCAGAGTCTATGCTTTGCCCATTGAAGTTCTCCATAGTCCGTGCTTTGCCCATTGAGGGTCTCCAGAGTCTATGCTTTGCCCATTGAAGGTCTCCAGAGTCTATGCTTTGCCCATTGAAAGTCTCCAGAGTCCATGCTTTTCCCATTGAGGGTCTCCAGAGTCTATGCTTTGCCCATTGAAGGTCTCCAGAGTCCGTGCTTTGCCCATTGAGGGTCTCCAGAGTCCGTGCTTTGCCCATTGAGGGTCTCCAGAGTCCATGCTTTGCCCATTGAGGGTCTCCAGAGTCTATGCTTTGCCCATTGAGGTCTCCAGAGTCCGTGCTTTGCCCATTGAGGGTCTCCAGAGTCCGTGCTTTGCCCATTGAGGGTCTCCAGAGTCCGTGCTTTGCCCATTGAAGGTCTCCAGAGTCCGTGCTTTGCCCATTGAGGGTCTCCAGAGTCCGTGCTTTGCCCATTGAGGGTCTCCAGAGTCCATGCTTTGCCCATTGAGGGTCTCCAGAGTCCGTGCTTTGCCCATTGAGGGTCTCCAGAGTCCGTGCTTTGCCCATTGAGGGTCTCCAGAGTCCATGCTTTGCCCATTGAGGGTCTCCAGAGTCCATGTGCTTTGCCCATTGAGGGTCTCCAGAGTCCGTGCTTTGCCCATTGAGGGTCTCCAGAGTCCGTGCTTTGCCCATTGAGGGTCTCCAGAGTCCATGCTTTGCCCATTGAGGGTCTCCAGAGTCCATGCTTTGCCCATTGAGGGTCTCCAGAGTCCATGCTTTGCCCATTGAGGGTCTCCAGAGTCCGTGCTTTGCCCATTGAGGGTCTCCAGAGTCCATGCTTTGCCCATTGAGGGTCTCCAGAGTCCATGCTTTGCCCATTGAGGGTCTCCAGAGTCCATGCTTTGCCCATTGAGGGTCTCCAGAGTCCATGCTTTGCCCATTGAGGGTCTCCAGAGTCTATGCTTTGCCCATTGAGGGTCTCCAGAGTCCATGCTTTGCCCATTGAGGGTCTCCAGAGTCTATGCTTTGCCCATTGAGGGTCTCCAAGTCCGTGCTTTGCCCATTGAGGGTCTCCAGAGTCCATGCTTTGCCCATTGAGGGTCTCCAGAGTCTATGCTTTGCCCATTGAAGGTCTCCAGAGTCTATGCTTTGCCCATTGAGGGTCTCCAGAGTCCGTGCTTTGCCCATTGAGGGTCTCCAGAGTCCATGCTTTGCCCATTGAGGGTCTCCAGAGTCTATGCTTTGCCCATTGAAGGTCTCCAGAGTCTATGCTTTGCCCATTGAGGGTCTCCAAGTCCGTGCTTTGCCCATTGAGGGTCTCCAGAGTCCATGCTTTGCCCATTGAGGGTCTCCAGAGTCTATGCTTTGCCCATTGAGGGTCTCCAGAGTCCGTGCTTTGCCCATTGAGGGTCTCCAGAGTCTGTGCTTTGCCCATTGAGGGTCTCCAGAGTCCATGCTT